ACACTGGCCTCTGCACTTCCAGGCCTGAATTTCCTAATTGCGTTCTCTCTCCTCCAGGGCTCACTGCTGCCTCTGCAGGCATCCTCTCTTGACAGCTCATGCTGATCCAAAGGTTCAAGACGGCTACAAACAACCCTCTCTGGTTGCAGCCAAATCTGGATTCAGATTCAGCCACTGCCATCCTGACACCGAGAGGAGGGAGGATTCCTTTGCAGTCTGCAAAACCCAGCTCTCATCAGGGGTGACCAGCCCTTGCACCCCAATGCTGGTTCTCGTGGCTACTGATGACTCCACAGTGGCAGGTCAAGTGAGGTGCAGTCAGGGATGGGACCAATCCCTCAGTAGCTTGAAGTCTTCATCCAGGCAATTCTGACAACAGTCAAACCAGCAAACCAAATCCTTCTACAGCCAAGACTTTAAACTGAGACTTCCAGTCACACTCCCTCTAGCCTGCTCTTTAAATGATCGCTGTCAGTTAAGGGTGACTTTGCACAGTCAAGGAGTGAGTCCACCAAAAAGAGGATTTCACTTCCCTTCCCCAAGCGGGGCCTAGATCCTAGCCCCAGCAGAAGCACATTCCTCTCACAGGGCCCCATCTTGCTCCCTTTGGAGATGATAGCAAAAGTCCTGTGGAGTCCAATGGGAACAGGAGCCCTGTGCTGTGGGAGTTGCATACACGAAGTCTACACAGCTGGGTGAGCCCTTCTACCCTGCAAATCTCTGCAATGAGACCATGCAGCTGTGGTCTGTACTGTCTACTCAGAGATAGCCTGTAAACCCTCCCACTTTTGCCTCCATTTCTTGAGCCAGACAGCAGCTTGGGCAGCTAAGAGTCATGCTTAATAATCAGTAACTCCCATTCCCATGCCAGTAAATGGGATACATGGGCAGCTGAGTGAATGTATTGAATCAGCAGGTTGCAAGATGGCAACAGTGTTTCCTTTTGTCACAACTTCTCTACACAGATCCAGTTAAGGCTATGGCTTCCCCAAAGGATGCTACAGATTTGGGTGAATATTATCCCCCAGTTACTGAGAGGGGAGCCAGAGAGGGCTGAGTAATGTAGCAGGGTACACACGGGAAGTGCCATCCTACCAACTGCTAGACACCCTCAAGCACAGGGCTTTGGCTAACAGGAGATGGGCAGGAATGTTAGAAGCACATGGTTTCCTGGGGTTATTGTTATAGAAGGCAAAAGAGAGGGTTCAAAAGAAGAAATCAACAGATTCAGGGATAAAGTGAGAGCAGGGAAAAGGGCAGAGGAAGAAAACCAGGCAGTGAAGTCTTCCAGAAAAGATACAGGTGATGGAGGCATCATGGTCCAGTAGACCAGGCACAGGCCTGAGACTTAGGACTCCTGGGTTCTAGTCTCAGCTCTGCTGCTGATTTAGGCAAGTTTTTTGCCTTGGTTTCCCCACCTTTGAAATTGGAGGGGAAAATGTTGTGCAAATACAGTATTTATAAGGCCACAGGTGTGCCTGTCACTTCACATAGAGAGCACACACATGGTCCTTGCCCTCAATAATTTACCCTCAAGGGCCCTGATCCTGAAAGCTCAACATACACACAGTGGTCCCTTGTGGCCGTGTGGAGCCCCATTGATTTCAGTGAAGCTTCATGTAGGCACAGAGGTCTGCCCATGTAGGACTGGGGCCTAAGTGAAGAGTTTACACCCCTCTCACTGCAGGGAGGACATATGAAGGATCTGAATTACCCACAGAAATAAGAACTGTATTTGTTTTGCCCCACACATAAAACTATGTCTCTAAAGGAGGAATGAGTTAACACTAGTAAAAGGTGTGAGGCAAACCGGTTCAGGGAATGAGTATTGGGGAAGTAATGAGGTGTTGTTTAGGGTTGCAATCACAAGGACATGTGTAGGGCACTCCTGATTGCTTATTCATAGTTACATTAACCCTGAGCAATAGGGTGACAGGGCAGAAGGGAATGGCATGGGAGCTACTAACTGGAAAAGTGGCTGCTTGTTTCACACATGAGATCTATCCCAGTCCGGGTTCGTTGAGGAGCAGCAGCAAGGAGTGGAATCTCAGAGCTGGCAGGAGAGTCCAACAGGGGCTGGAAACAGACCTTACCTCCTTCTGTCCTGGAGATGCTGCTACTGAGTGAGGCTCCACACTGACATCCAGTGACCACAGGCTTTTCTCAAAAAGAAAAGGAGTACTTGTGGCACCTTAGAGACTAACCAATTTATTTGAGCATGAGCTTTCGTGAGCTACAGCTCACTTCATCGGATGCATACCGTGGAAACTGCAGCAGACTTTATATATACACAGAGAATATGAAACAATACCTCCTCCCACCCCACTGTCCTGCTGGTAATAGCTTATCTAAAGTGATCATCAAGTTGGGCCATTTCCAGCACAAATCCAGGTTTTCTCACCCTCCACCCCCCCCCACAAATTCACTCTCCTGCTGGTGCTAGCCCATCCAAAGTGACAACTCTTTACATAATCAAGTCGGGCTATTTCCTGCATAAATCCAGGTTTTCTCACATCCCCCCCCACCCCCATACACACACAAACTCACTCTCCTGCTGGTAATAGCTCATCTAAACTGACCACTCTCCAAGTTTAAATCCAAGTTAAACCAGAACATCTGGGGGGGGGGGGGAGGAAAAAACAAGAGGAAACAGGCTACCTTGCATAATGACTTAGCCACTCCCAGTCTCTATTTAAGCCTAAATTAATAGTATCCAATTTGCAAATGAATTCCAATTCAGCAGTTTCTCGCTGGAGTCTGGATTTGAAGTTTTTTTGTTTTAAGATAGCGACCTTCATGTCTGTGATGACAAGTCTTGGGAGACAGGCCAGTCCTTGCCTACAGACAGCCCCGCAACCTGAAGCAAATACTCACCAACAACCACATACCACACAACAGAACCACTAACCCAGGAACTTATCCTTGCAACAAAGCCCGTTGCCAATTGTGCCCACATATCTATTCAGGGGACACCATCACAGGGCCTAATAACATCAGCCACACTATCAGAGGCTCGTTCACCTGCACATCCACCAATGTGATCTATGCCATCATGTGCCAGCAATGCCCCTCTGCCATGTACATTGGTCAAACTGGACAGTCTCTACGTAAAAGAATAAATGGACACAAATCAGATGTCAAGAATTATAACATTCATAAACCAGTCGGAGAACACTTCAATCTCTCTGGTCACGCAATCACAGACATGAAGGTCGCTATCTTAAAACAAAAAAACTTCAAATCCAGACTCCAGCGAGAAACTGCTGAATTGGAATTCATTTGCAAATTGGATACTATTAATTTAGGCTTAAATAGAGACTGGGAGTGGCTAAGTCATTATGCAAGGTAGCCTGTTTCCTCTTGTTTTTTCCTACCCCCCCCCCCCCCCCCAGATGTTCTGGTTTAACTTGGATTTAAACTTGGAGAGTGGTCAGTTTAGATGAGCTATTACCAGCAGGAGAGTGAGTTTGTGTGTGTATGGGGGTGGGGGGGGATGTGAGAAAACCTGGATTTATGCAGGAAATAGCCCGACTTGATTATGTAAAGAGTTGTCACTTTGGATGGGCTAGCACCAGCAGGAGAGTGAATTTGTGTGGGGGGGTGGAGGGTGAGAAAACCTGGATTTGTGCTGGAAATGGCCCACCTGATGATCACTTTAGATAAGCTATTACCAGCAGGACAGTGGGGTGGGAGGAGGTATTGTTTCATATTCTCTGTGTATATATAAAGTCTGCTGCAGTTTCCACGGTATGCACCCGATGAAGTGAGCTGTAGCTCACGAAAGCTCATGCTCAAATAAATTGGTTAGTCTCTAAGGTGCCACAAGTACTCCTTTTCTTTTTGCGAATACAGACTAACACGGCTGTTACTCTGAAACCAGGCTTTTCTCAGTCTGCCTTGTGCCTTGCTGTAAGGATAATTCCAAGGGTCAGCCCGTCCTCTGAATGGGAGCAGCTCCCCTGTGCGCGTTTCCTGGGGAATTCCCTTTGGCACACTCTCTGCAAAGGGTGGCCAAGGAGATCCAGTGCCAGCCTGTGCCATTTATATTTCTAATGCAGCCCTCCAGACAGAAAGATAAGGCGGGGGAGCGACCTACTGGTCACACAGACACTATCCAACAGGCTTCTCATTGTCCCTCAGCACACTGAATTGGTTTTCACACTGCTCGGTTACTCCTCAATCACATACCAGCGTTCCTGACAAAGGCCCAGTGTATCTTTTTCTGACAAGACATAGCGCAATAGTTGTGTGTGTGTCTGTGAAACTGCCCAACTCTGTGCCTGACACCCTGTACTGCTAAGAGCTAGAGGAGGAAACAGTGATCAGCACCTGTGCTTCTGCAACAGGTCACTGTGAGTTCTTTCCCGGCTATCTCCAGGAAGCAGCGAGCGAGCATGCCGTGTCTGGTACAGCAGTGACAACCGCGAAATCCTCACTAGCCAGGGTGGGCTTCTTAGAATCATAGAACATCAGGGTTGGAAGGGACCTCAGGAGGTCATCTAGGGCAACCCCCTGCTCAAAGCAGGACCAGTCCCCAACTAAACCATCCCAGCCAGGGCTTTGTTACACGTGGGCTCTCTGCTGTGCAACATGAGCCTTCCAGGATGAAGAACGATTCCGGGGACGTGGTTGCTACAGAGAGAGGGGCTGGGCAGGGCGCAGTGGGATGCCCTGTAACCAGCACTGAGCGCCCCCAGGGGCCTGCTCCTCTCCCAGATAGGGGAATAGAACCCAGGAGTCCTGGCGCGCCCAATGGCTGAGACACTCCCCCCCCAGCAGGGGGCGCTGCGCCCGCCCGGGTTTTCCAATACGACCTTCCCGCGCCCTTATACCCCCCACCTGCCGCCTTTGTGGCGGATAAGCCCCGCCCCTTGCCCGAATGCGCCCAATCATCCCCCCACCTCGCCCTTGTGCAGCAGCGATTGGCTACCCCGTGTGTCAGTCAGTCAGACGTGACGCGGGGCGATCCTCAGCGGCCCAATGGGAGTGCTGGGTGGGCGGGCTCGCGGAGGGCAGGCGGTGTGGGACCGGGCGGAGGGGGCCGCGGCGATGGCGCCAGACGCGCAGAGCCGGGAAGGCGAAGGCCGGAGCCTCCGGGCCGTGCTGCTGGGGCCGCCCGGGGCGGGCAAGGGCACCCAGGTGAGGGGCCGGGCGCTGCGCGGGGCCTGGGGATCCCCGGTAGGGCCCCGCGTCGGGAGCGGCCAAGGTCACAAGTGGAGTCGGGCAGCGGCCCCAGGAGTCCCCGGCCCCCGCCCGGGCGGCGGGGGGGGACTAGGCCCCGGGAGTCCCCGGCCCCCGCCCGGGCGGCGGGGGGGGGACTAGGCCCCGGGAGTCCCCGGCCCCCGCCCGGGCGGCGGGGGGGGGACTAGGCCCCGGGAGTCCCCGGCCCCCGCCCGGGCGGCGGGGGGGGGGGCGGGGGGGGGGGGACTAGGCCCCGGGAGTCCCCGGCCCCCGCCCGGGCGGCGGGGGGGGGGGGGGGACTAGGCCCCGGGAGTCCCCGGCCCCCGCCCGGGCGGCGGGGGGGGGGGACTAGGCCCCGGGAGTCCCCGGCCCCCGCCCGGGCGGCGGGGGGGGGGGGACTAGGCCCCGGGAGTCCCCGGCCCCCGCCCGGGCGGCGGGGGGGGGGACTAGGCCCCGGAGTCCCGGCCCCCGCCCCCGGGCGGCGGGGGGGGACTAGGCCCCGGAGTCCCGGCCCCCGCCCGGGCGGCGGGGGGGGGGACTAGGCCCCGGGAGTCCCCGGCCCCCGCCCGGGCGGGGGGGGGGACTAGGCCCCGGGAGTCCCCGGCCCCCGCCCGGGCGGCGGGGGGGGGACTAGGCCCCGGGAGTCCCCGGCCCCCGCCCGGGCGGCGGGGGGGGGGACTAGGCCCCGGGAGTCCCCGGCCCCCGCCCGGGCGGCGGGGGGGGGGACTAGGCCCCGGGAGTCCCCGGCCCCCGCCCGGGCGGCGGGGGGGGGGGGGACTAGGCCCCGGGAGTCCCCGGCCCCCGCCCGGGCGGCGGGGGGGGGGGACTAGGCCCCGGGAGTGGGCTCTCCCCACATGTTAATCTCTGATGTGTTCTAGCCACCTCTAATGATGTGTAGCGTGTAGCATGGAGCTGGCCTTTGTCTGCGAAGTACGTTGCAAATACTTACAAGCTTCGCTCATCCTCGCGCGCCCCTGGACGTTAAGAAGCATCTTCCGCATCTCGTTTAGGGGGAGGCCGGGGTGCAGAGCGGTAGCAATTAGTTGCCCGGGGCAGAACTGAAAATAGAACCCGGGAGTTCTTGGCTCCAAAATCCTACTCTCGAAACATGCTTCCTCCTTGCTCGCAGCCGTCAGCCCCCTGACGTGACCGCTCCACACAGCCAGCCAGCTCCACTTCTCCTGGTGCCTTCCCTGCTCCACCCCTCCATTTTCTTTATCCCCTGGCCTCTTCCAATAGACTCCATGTTGTTGTAAGAATCCTTAGAACTCTCCCTAGCTCTTTGGTTGCCTGAGACATTATCTCACCCGTGTGAAGGAATAAAATTTCTCTGGCTCCTTGCATCCGCTGATTTCTAGTTCATCTGCCCCTTTTGGCTACTGCAAATTCCTTGGTCCTTCATGCTGTTTGGTCCCAGACCATGTTAAAATAATTTTGTCTGCTTCTCATTGCAAAACCATTTTCTTTGTACTGACGTTACCAAACCCTGTTTGGATTTTAACCCTTTAAACTTTTTAATATCGCTTCTATCACTGTGAGGTGAAATTACTTCCTGCGATTAAAAACTTCACCTGTGGAGAATCAATGGGATCTGTTCATGGAAGTTACACCAGATTCATTTTTTATTCTGTTTTCTCCCATCATAGGCTCCTAAGCTTGCTGAAACATACTGTGTTTGCCACCTGGCAACAGGTGACATGCTGAGGGCCATGGTGGCTTCAGGATCGGAGCTGGGTAAAAGGTTGAAGGAGACTATGGATGCTGGGAAGCTGGTGAGTATAGTGAGATGGATATTGCTAATGAAAGTGCTAATCATCTGGGTATATTGAGAGGACTGAAAAAAGCATTTAAAAAAAATACAAGCCTGCGGTGATCAAACGGCTGTCCTTCATGTAGAAACGCTGGAACCAATGACAAATCCAGACCAGAAAACTAAAAACAAGTTCCAGGGGAAATGTGTGATTTCCCCACACCTTCCCTGTAAGGCCATAGGAAAGATGTCCTGTAAAGATGCTTCTCCCTATCCTGCATAGATCTGAGTTTTCCTCCTTAAAATTCCTGTTTTCTTAGCTTTTAGCTTTCCCTTTTGGTTTATCTAGTTTCACAGAACATAGAGTAAATCCTGATTAATCAGCTTCTGGCTAATAAATGCTCCGTTATCCCAAACTGTGGTTATGTCTCTGGGGTTGCAGGAACAGGTGTTATCACTACTGCACTCCTAAGCCTCCTGTTCACATGGTGCCCCTAAGCCCTGCAGAGTGAAGATTCCAGTTATCCGAAGGTTTCATATATATCTCCGGAGTCCTTCAGATAATTGCGGTTCACCTGTAATTTGTAAGGTGAAAATAAAGCCTTAAGACCATTTACCCTCACAGTTACAGAGAGCATTCAACTCTTTCGTGTGAAAATGGCTTGGTTTGGAGTCCCAGATGATGGCTATACTTGTTACCTGTGGCATGTTTCATCCATAGATTTCAATGCATTTTGTCAAGGTGGGTAAAGCTCTTAATGGGGAAACTGAGGCAGGGAGTGAAGTAACTAGCTCAAAATAATAGTTTGAGCTCAGGTCTGCTTACTCCCAGGCTGGTGCTCAATACCTTGCATCATTTTGTCTCCCTTTATGCATAACTATATACCCAGGTTCAGACCTCAAGTCTCCCCCCTTTCTTTCCTCTTCTTTCCCCGAGTGTTACACTGAATTATGCTATTTGCCAATAGCAGGCTTTAGTACTCTTAAGAAAACTCCTTCAGAAGGCTTTGTGGTAGCACAGGGAGACTGCTTATCGTCATCCCTTCACATGGAGCTTGTATTGCATCAATGAGCCTGCCATATCACAACTGGTTATGGAAGATAGGAGCACTATCTAGAAAGACTGGCTGTTATCTTTAATGTGTGTGTTCCTGGAAACACTACACTGCATTGGCAATATATTGTATTAGCATATTCTGGCTTTAAGATAACTTAGTTTAGTGGAAGTACAGCAATTCCCAAAGCCCATTCTATGGCTCTTGCCTCTAATGGTACATCTACACAGCAGAGAAAACCCTGTGGCTGGCCCGGGCCAGCTGTCTTGGGATCAGGCTTTGGGGCTGTTTCATTGCTGTGTAGACTTTGGGCTCGCCAAGCTCTGGGACCTTCCCACCTTGCAGGGTCCTAGAGCCCCGGCTCGAGCCTGAGCTCAGAAGTCTATTCAGCAATGAAACAGCCTTGCAGCCCAAGCCCTGCAAGCCTGAGTCAGCTGGAATGGGCCAGCCATGGGTTTCTAGTTGATGTGTATACATACCCTAGCCTGCCTGAGGACCAGATTCTGCTAGGCTACAGTAGCATAAATCAGGAGTAACTTCACTGAAGTCAATGGGGAGTTATTTTAGGTTTAAACCAATAACATTTGGACACTAGTCTGAATTGGTGTCTTCCACAGTCAACTTCATTCCAATCTTATGTTCAGATTGGAATATGAGGAAGCCAAGCAAGGCCCAGATGCTGCAAGCACCTATACGTGTTCTTAACTTGAAGCACGTCAGTTAAAGTCAACGGGGCTATTCATGTGCCTAAAGTTAAACTTGTATGTAACTTTGCAGGAATGGGGCCTGTCTGTCTCTACAGGGGAAACGGTGAAATTGTGCATTTCTCAGCACCTTTTTAATAATCAAAATTAAAAAAAAAAAATCCTTAATCTGTGTTTTAGTGTTTGACTCCTGCCAGTAGGGTCTGTGGAATCTATCCCACGATCAGCGAATGCACAAGTTAAGAATCTCATAATGCTGTTCACTGGCCCACATTGTGGCGTGTATTATTTGTGCTCATTGAGCCTGTTAAATGTATGTCTTGTTATCTACATGTTACATACACACACGTAGCAAAAGAGAACCTTTGCTTCCTGACTAGGATGTGTTTCAACTTGCAGATTTTGCATTGTATTAACAATACTTGGCATTTCAATTATATTACGCATACCCATGGTTAACATTGCTATTTTCCCTTGGTTTTGTTGCACTTAGGAGCAGGTGCAGACTAGGTACTCATGAACCCTAGGCTCGGATGGGTATATTCCGTGGCTAGCAGGTGTGAAGACAATGTTTGGTGAAGTCAACTGAATTTTAGGGATGTAAATGAGGCACCCTATGGTCTATCATGCTTAAGATAGGACAGTGATGGACTAATCTGGTCTATTTACTGTTTTTAATGAGGTGTCGATGACTTTCTTCTAAGGTGAGTGATGAGATGGTGGTGGAACTTATTGAGAAAAACCTGCAGACTCCTCCCTGCAAAAATGGCTTCCTGCTGGATGGTTTCCCTCGCACAGTGAAGCAGGCGGAGATGGTACGTGACCTCAAATCCTCTAGCTCAGTAGCTCTTGTTACCCCCAGCCATGTCTCTAGAGACTTGATTATGTCGGAACTCACACTGCAACAGAGAATCTGTGTACTTAAGGGCAATGTTTTCTATTACAGCTGGATGAGCTCATGGAGAAGAGAAGTGAGAAGCTAGATTCTGTGATTGAATTCAGCATTGCTGACTCCTTACTCATCCGGAGGATCACTGGACGGTAATAATTCTCCTTCCTCCACACATAGGCCAGGTCCATTTTTCTTATTGTTTTCCCTGTGCTTTGGGAGAAAGTAGTGAATTTTGATTCCTGGGACAGTTTTAGCACTGGGTGGAGCCAGCTTTGTCAAAGCACCTCAATCCTGGCCTGCTTCAGCCTTTGCTATTTCAGTCTTTGCTCCACACACATACACGGTTCTGCTGTCACACCTCAGTGCTGACCTGGAGCATGCCTTGCTATTCCCATCCTGGGCCTTCCTTGAACAGAGTCTGTCCATCTGTGCCACGGATAGTGGTTGGTGATATGACTAAGCATGAAGGAGAAATGTGAAATGCTAATGCCTTATGCTGTGTCTTCTCTGGTGTTATCACTGCTTCATTGTATTACCCTGCAAGATGAAGTGCAACCAAACATCCTTGTCCTGGATCAGACTTGACCGTTTAGGTCCAGCAGAAGTTCTCCATTACATCACCTAGCCCTTTAAAATCTGGATTTCCAGAAGATTCCTCCCTCACTCCTGGACAAAATACTCCTCCACCCCCTCCCAGTACAGCTTCTTTTCCTCAGCTCCCTGAAGAGCTGCTTGATTGAATTGACTCGAGCAAATTTATTGATAGAACGACAAACATCTGTGTTGCTGTGGATGTTTCCCATGCTGACTGGTGTGTGTTTGTCCTCTTATCATGAGTGCAGAGGTATTTTGCTGACCCTTGTTTTCGGTTTTAGGCTGATCCACCCAGCAAGTGGCCGCTCTTACCATGAGGAGTTCAACCCCCCTAAAGAGCACATGAAGGACGATGTATGTGAGCTACTGATACATTTCCCCTGAGATCTTATTTAAATGACCTTCAATTCAATGGCAGGTTTTAGAGTAACAGCTGTGTTAGTCTGTATTCGCAAAAAGAAAAGGAGGGCTTGTGGCACCTCAGAGACTAACCAATTTATTTGAGCATAAGCTTTCGTGAGCTACAGCTCACTTCATCGGATGCATACTGTGGAAAGTACAGAAGATCTTTTTATACACACAAACCATGAAAAAAATGGGTATTTACCACTACAAAAGGTTTTCTCTCCCCCCCACCCCACTCTCCTGCTGGTAATAGCTTATCTAAAGTGATCACTCTCCTTACAATGTGTATGAAAATCAAGGTGGGCCATTTCCAGCACAAATCCAGGGTTTAACAAGAACGTCTGGGGGGTAGGAGAAAACAAGGGGGAAATAGGTTACCTTGCATAATGACTTAGCCACTCCCAGTCTCTATTCAAGCCTAAGTTAATTGTATCCAATTTGCAAATGAATTCCAATTCAACAGTCTCTCGCTGGAGTCTGGATTTGAAGTTTTTCTGTTGTAATATCGCAACTTTCACGTCTGTAATCGCGTGACCAGAGAGATTGAAGTGTTCTCCGACTGGTTTATGAATGTTATAATTCTTGACATCTGATTTGTGTCTATTTATTCTTTTACGTAGAGACTGTCCAGTTTGACCAATGTACATGGCAGAGGGGCATTGCTGGCACATGATGGCATATCACATTGGTGGATGTGCAGGTGAACGAGCCTCTGATAGTGTGGCTGATGTTATTAGGCCCTGTGATGGTGTTCCCTGACATTAGGCCATCGGGTGCCAGCAATGCCCCTTTGCCATGTACGTTGGTCAAACTGGACAGTCTCTACGTAAAAGAATAAATAGACACAAATCAGATGTCAAGAATTATAACATTCATAAACCAGTCGGAGAACACTTCAATCTCTCTGGTCACGCGATTACAGACGTGAAAGTTGCGATATTACAACAGAAAAACTTCAAATCCAGACTCCAGCGAGAGACTGTTGAATTGGAATTCATTTGCAAATTGGATACAATTAACTTAGGTTACCTTGCATAATGACTTAGCCACTCCCAGTCTCTATTCAAGCCTATTTCCCCTTGTTTTTTCCTCCCCCCCCCCCCCCCCCCCCCCCGACGTTCTTGTTAAACCCTGGATTTGTGCTGGAAATGGCCCACCTTGATTATCATACACATTGTAAGGAGAGTGATCACTTTAGATAAGCTATTTCCAGCAGGAGAGTGGGGTGAGGGGGAGAGAAAACCTTTTGTAGTGGTAAATACCCATTTTTTTCATGGTTTGTGTGTATAAAAAGATCTTCTGTACTTTCCACAGTATGCATCTGACGAAGTGAGCTGTAGCTCACGAAAGCTTATGCTCAAATAAATTGGTTAGTCTCTAAGGTGCCACAAGTACTCCTTTTCTTTCTTCAATTCAATGTCAGACCAATAACCAAGCTTTTATTGCCCTGTCTTCACATGTTGTCACCTCCATTTGACTAGAGATGAGTTTGATGGAGGGGAGGGCTCTGCAGGGCTGTAACAAGCTGCAGATTTGGCCTGTTCACTGTCATCTTCTTTTTTCAGGCCACTGGGGAGCCCTTGATCCGCCGTTCTGACGATACCGAAGTGGCTTTGAAAACTCGTCTGAAGTCCTACCACACGCAGACCACCCCGCTGGTAGACTACTACACCAAACGAGGGATCCATACGGCCATAGATGCCTCCCAGTCCCCCGACGTGGTGTTTGCCAGCATCTTGGCAGCCTTCTCAAAAGCCACATGTAAAGACCTGGTTATGTTTGTTTAGGGCACAGCTAGTGCAGCGCACTCCCTTTTCCTGTGGGGTCAGGGGGAGGAAAGGCCAATTAGAGAGCGGAAGGAGGGGGGATGACAGCCTGAGAGGAGGCTGGGCAAAGTGTCCATTAAACAAGCAGTTGCTGGTCTATTTTTCTGGCCTATCTGAACATGCTTGTATGTTTCTGTATACCTGTGTGAGAGAGAATATAGCCTGTAGGGGGCGCAGTGAGCTAATGTACCGGCCATTTGCTGCTAACAACATGTTTACATCCAGTCGGGTCAAAAGTGAAAGTTTGGTTTCTTCTAAAGAGTCCTAGTTAATGGGAAAACAGCTGACTTTTCACTGTTCAGTCTGTTTGGCTGGGACCCAGTTTGGGACTAGCAGGAGTACTGGAGGTCATGGCTGATCTCGGGGGTGGGAAGCTTGCAATACACAGGTCAGTGCTGTCTTTCATGCTTCACCGTACGGCTGTGGGAAAATAAAACGCTCTGCCTGCTTGCAGGAAGTGAGCCTCATCTGTGTGGGAGGAGGAATGAATGCAAAATGTGTGAGTGGAGAATGTGCTGCTTAGTACCATTTTAGAACACAAGCCTTTACCCTGTGGTACATGTCTGATTATTTTATACTGTGTGAGCAATACTGTAACCAGCCTAGTTTTCTTGGAGGGGAATCTGGATCCCTGTGGGTTTGACTCTAAAGGGGGAAGGTGAGTGTAGGCCGTAGGAGACTCCCCTTTGGAAAGGGAGTGGGAAGGGAAGCAAATTCTGTGGATTCCGCTGTCTCCTCGTCCCCTAATCACAGGAGATGATGTAGCAAGCCCTTAGTGTGGTTTTCTCAAGGTTTCCAAACAAGTCATTCTTCAAGGAGCTTGTGATAAAAGCTTTGAGTGTCCTTGAGCCCTTCTGACCTTCCTTATGATATCATGGAAATGCACTTGAGGTTCTCAAGCAAGCCTAAGTGCTCATGCTGAAACCTGGGCTGCCTGATGTTGATTTTAACGTGACAGAGGTCATGCTGCCCTCACAGTAAAAACAAGGCTGGTATGAAAGGAACAAACTCTGTTCTGTGTGGAAATCTCAACAGTATGTGGAAGCTTCTGGCATAAATGCTTATTGGCCCAAATGAAGCTGAGTGTCCTTTAACCTTCAGTGTATTTTGCTGATTTGGTGTAATAGGCTGTGTAATCTCATTGTGTACAGGAGATGTGGAGTCTGTATGCTGAGCTGCCTGAGCGACTGGCCCATTCAGTTTGAGGGTCAGCCAGGAGGGATTCTTCTCTCCTTTAGTTCATGATTTACTGTTAATCACACTCTGCTCCTCCACTTCCCTTCCAGTGAAGTACAGCCGTCCCTTCCCCCTTTCAAAAATCTGTAAATAGCCCCAGAAACTGAAAGCGGTCTTGTCACTGCTACTCTCTCTGAAATCATGTGACTGCATGGAAAGGGGCGTGGAGGGAAAACAGAAGTTTAGAATCTGTTGCTCTGTTTGGGTCTTCCCCAGCTTCCACTGTCTTGCAGTGGTATTTCCTCTTGCCTCACCACAACAGAGACTCTGTGGTTGTGCTGCTAGTGGGGTGCTGGGTACAGATGTTCTGGTGGCAGCTCCTATCTGCTTTCAGTTAGTTCAGGAACGTAAGAAGACTGGGTATAGACAGCCATGGAATTGAGTGTCTGTTGGAGCCACTACTGCGTAATTGTTTGCCTAGAATGACAAAAACTGCCCCTTGAGTGTACTTGAATCTCTTGAGAAGGGGAGCCCATGTAGCAATAATCTAATGGAAGATTCCCACTAAATCGCCTGGATTTGGGAAACAGCGCATCCCACCCCCCTGTGTGAGCTGCATCTGTCCTACACGTCAGCCTCATTCTGCTGTTAACCATGATTGTTTGGTTTTTATTCCTTAAATCTGTTTTGTTTTTTGTCTTTTTGTTTCCCATTTATTCCAGCTCAGTGACTCCATAGGCCAGACAAGACACCACCAAAGGCTGCATGCTCCATCACCTCACTCCATCCCTTCCCCTTGGGAGAAAGGGAGGGCTGGGAGGGATGGTGGTGGGGGTCACGGCTGCTCAGAGGAAAGGAGGGGAAGAAGGAGAAGGCAGAGTGGTTTGTTTCTCATCAGAATCATGTTCAAGAGGAGATTGATCTTCTTTAATTTAAAAAAAAAAAAAAGAGAGACACAAGTGTTTGGGGAGGAAGAACACATTGTATTGGCACAGAAATCCATTTTCATACAAAGATCAGACTCCTGAGCCTTTGCCCTGCGATGAGTGTTGGACTTGGTGCAATTTCAAGCTTCCAAATGGGACTCCTGGTACTGCCATTGCTTGGTAGCTCTGCATGGTTTCTTTTTTCTCTAAGGTCATTGTAGAATTTGTTTTTCTGCTTCCTCAACTTAATTCCCCTATTGTAGGACCAAAATGAATATGTGAAATGACTTCTGTAATGGAGAAAATAGCTGACTAAATTGTACTTCCCTCGTTTCCTGGATATTTTGGCCTTCCTAAAACAAGGCAAAGGTGGTCTGAGGAGCTTTCTGCTCCTGTGTGATGCCATCAGGGACCTGAACTCGAGCCCAAGCCTTCCATCTTTCTGATCTTGGAAAAGCTGAACTTCCTAAAATAATGACGAAATACATAGGATTTTACCCCTCTCCCACTTGACTGTGGAAGCGACAGTGAATTGGATTTTTTGCCTCTTTTTACCAACCAAATGCTGCCTTGTTTAATCTCTGAATCAATAAAACATACTTTATATTTTGTATCTGTAGCTGCATTCTTCTCTTTTTGACCTGCACACAACACAGGCTGGCAGCGGTGATACATACTGTAGACTACATCTACCAGAATTGAGAGGGTAGAGGATGACCAGAAAGTCCAACCAGAGAACTCAACTCTGTGCAACTAACGAACATACCCTGTCATTTTCTCTCTTATATACATTTCAAACTCCCTATTAGGGAAGTGATTGTTCCAAGTGCTGTCCCTGTTCTTCTATCTCTTCTACTCTTCTGTATGAAGAAATTAAAGATAAATTCCTTTTGAGCTTTGACCCTGTCTTGGCTGGAGCTTGTCTTCTGTGTGTTTTCATAGCTGACATCTCTGAGCGTTTTAATAGCTCTCTATTTCTATCAGTGTTGTGTGCCTTTAACGTGGTCCTATATTCTTTCCCTACTCCCACAAGACAACAACTCTAGTTTTACTGCTTTTGAGTGTAGCAGTTTCTTCTGCACTGTAGCCTGTGACCATCACCTTCATGCTTACTACCCTCCATGCTCCCCTTTCAGCAATGTGTATCTTCTGCAGCATGGAACAAAATCTGCCCTGATGGCAGAACATATCTTTCTTTTTATCCCAACCTGTTCAGGGCTGAGACCTTGTGGATTATTCTCTGATGTGATTCCCGAAAGAACATTTTTCTTGATATGCAGGAAAACTATGTGTGGCCTCCCCTTGTTGCTATTTGTAGTACACAAGCACCCCAGTCCATTTTGGGAGTCCTCTGCTAGGCACTGTACAAAGACAGGATGCTGCAGAGCACCCATCGTCTCTTGCTTTTGCAAATAATAGGTTTAGTGAGCAGGCTGTATCAGTATTTTTCTTCACCTCCACCTTGTGCTTCCCTAATGTTTCTCATAGGGTTTTGATGAGTGTTTTCTTCACCTTTCGAAAGCAAGCTCACACATCTGAGTTTTGTGGTATCATTCCTGTACTTTGATAATCAGGTTCTACCTAGTTCTTACTGATAACCTCTTTCCTTACCTTTCACCTGCCTTTGCTAAAGCCACTCTGTTTGCTTTGACAAGGTTTTTAGAATTGTTTTTTAGTAAATTGTTCCTGTTAAATGACTTCACCCCTGCAAGCTGCTTATCCTGTGATCTTTTGAAAGGTGTGTTCGTATTTCATACAGATAATTTATTCAGCAGCAGGAGAAGAGAATATGCCCTATGTATAACACTAGGACCAGCATAGTCTAGGACACTGCATTTTCCCTTTCTTTCAGTGTGGTGTGAGTTGTTCTCCAATGCAGCAGTCTCTCTCCTGCTAAGGAAAAGCAGCTCCACGGCTTGGGCTGCAGAAAGCATCAAGCTGCTTTTCCTTCTGAAATGTGCTGCGGGACTTAACAGTGGCATACCTCCCCCCCCTCGCCTCAAAGCATCTGTGAAAGAGAATGCAGCAAATCTCTTCCCCTGCACGGTATTCCGGGCTGATGAGAATGCAGTGTTCTCTGGCTTGTAGCATCTAGACTTGGGGCTGGGGAATGTCGCATCTACTGTATTCCCTGCAAAAGAGCATCTGGCTTGGAATGCAAAACGAATCCCTGCCCTGCACCAAGCACATGGAGTGAGGAACAAAGCAGCTAGATATCACAGTGTGTGCTGGGGGGGCTGGATATGCAGAGATACCACCTGGCTCCTCTGCACACTGGGTGGGAGACCCATACTGGCTAATGGTGCCTATTAAGGAGGGAGATCAGAGTCCCTACGGTTCCCACCCTGCCCTTCCCCAAAGTGCCCCCCATCCTTGTGTTGCAATGGAATGTAAAGCTATCCCCTTATTTTAGTCCCCTGCGCACCCCCAGCCCTGCTCCTTTTGGTTGCTGCCAGGGGTTGCTTAATAAGGGCTGTGGGCAATACCAAATGAGTTGGCGGGAGGGGGAGGGTAGAGGTTCAGGGGATGGAGTTCCCCTTCTGTTGCTATGGCAACTGTTGCCAAATGGAAACCCCAAACACAGCAAACCCGGAACAGCACTGTGGTGGGGAGGCTGCCATTGGCTGGGCGGGCAGGGCTGCTGGGTGACATCATGGAAAGTGGGGACAGAACAAGGGAAGCTGCAGAGTGAAGCGGAGCCTCGAACAGGACGGGGAACCCACAGTAGGTAAGAAAGAGATTCCCCCCCCGCCCCAAAGCCCATGGGACTCTCCCATCCCCCTTGAGGGGTTCAGGGATGGCTGTCCCAATGGGAAGATATCAAGGGTCCAGTGATGCCCTCTCCCTATCCAGGTTTTTATAAGATTGCCCATCACCCTGATATCTGAATCCTCTCTCCATCCGCTGCCTAGGGTTCCCCAAGCGTTCTTGGCACCGGTACTGATTTCACCTGGCTCTAGGACTGCCAGCCACTGTAGCCTATGGTGTGCAGTGCCCTGGTAGCTGCTGTGACGTGGGTTACTCCCAAGCTCTGCATTGCTGTTATTGGGAGCAGCCCCTGAGCTCTGCGCTAGATCGGAGTCTGAACCGCAGGGTAAGTGGGGGGCAGGGGTGTGTGATAACACCAGTGTGGTGGGGCAGGGGAAGGGGTTGTCTGAGCACCACTAGGTTGTGAGAGTGCATGCCACTGAATGGAAAACAGAGGAAGGGGTGGACCAGGAGGGGCTTAGAGTACCCTGAGTTTCATGCTGGTGCCATAGAACAGGAGCTGTTGAGCTTAGCTGATGTACCTGGAGGTGGGAAGCAGAGCTCTCTTGTGGGGTTAGAACAGGCGCCGTTGAACAAGTGAATCTGAGATTTGAAATGACCCAGTCTCCATGACACCCCCACAGTTAAATAGGTGGGTGGTGAACAATGTGGGTGCAGTGGAGCCCAATTCAAAAGTTCATATAGGCGAGCCTAGATTATTGGTCGCCAAAGTCTATGGTGCTATTATAGCTGAGGCCAGGAATCACTGGTGGGGAACCACTGCTCAAGAGAGGGCAGCCTGTCGTCCTATTGTTTCTGGGAGTTTTTTCTAGTTTTGTCCGGATGCTAATCCTGCAGGCCCGGGAGGCAGGATTGTGACGGGTCTCAAAATAATATTTGACGTCACGTTGCTTTGCCACAGAACAATTGCATCTGTTCACCTAGTATAAAAAATTAAGGGTGAAATTCACCTCCTAACTCCCATTGGACTTAAGTGGTACTAAGGCCTAATGCTGGCCCACTGCACAGGGCTAAATTTCATCTGTGTTTATACCTATAGGTTAGGTTTATCTTTTCACCCTAACCCTTGAAAAAAAACCTTGGTTTTACAAAAAGAAAAGGAGGACTTGTGGAACCTTAGAGACTAACCAATTTATTTGAGCATAAGCTTTCGTGAGCTACAGCTCACTTCATCGGATGCTGTAGCTCACAAAAGCTTATGCTCAAATAAATTGGTTAGTCTCTAAGGTGCCACAAGTACTCCTTTTCTTTTTGAGAATACAGACTAACACGGCTGCTACTCTGAAACCTTGGTTTTACAGTTACATTTCCATGGCACAGTTTAGTGTCGTTTTTGTACCTTCAAGTAGGCTAGACATGAAAGCAGGGGGATGACATCACCAGAGGAAGCGAGTTAGTTATGATCAAATGTAGCTAACTCTGGCTGTTTCTGCCAGACCTTCACTATATCAACACCTACAGCATGTATGTGATTGGGAAAAGGGTAGCTTGGGGTAGGAACAGTGACTGAAGCAGGCTGTCAGCCGAGTGGGGGTGGTGATTAAATCTCCCCCATAACTTAGAAAATAAAAACTAGGGATTGGAAACGCTGGAAACCATAAACCTCAGTGGGAAAGTAGATACACCATTTAAAACACCAGAACAGAGGCGTGCCAGTAAAATTATGGGCATCGGCTTACGCTTGTCTCATTAAGACTGTTTAAAAATCTTTCCCACGTATGAGGGAGCACAATACTCCAGTGAAAGGCTGAAGAACTGAGAGCAACAAAGGTCCCAGAAGCTGTTGTATAACAGGTACCATGGAGAGACAAACCTTAGAAACACCTGAGAGAGAGAGAGAGAGAGCGGGTGGATTCTTAACAAGGAGGATAGCTATGCTTTTTGCTGGGTTGTAAAATTACCCCTAGCTTTCTGTAAACCATTTCCACAAGGGACACTGGTTCTATGCAGAGCTACCAGGGGAAGGCTCAGGGTTAGCCACTCTGCAGATTATTTTGTGGTAATTACATAAACAGCTAACACTGCTGCCCATGACTTCACTGAATAGTGTTGGGTCCAAGCCCCCAGCTTTAAAGGCCTTGCTGGGATTTTAGGAGCCGGCTTATTGCCGGAGAATTGTGGTGCTATCACTCAGGTGGCTTGGATCGTCAGCTGGGTTTTATTTTTCTGACGTGGGAGGAAGGCACTCAGTCTGTACTGGCTTTTGAAACTGTGCTTAAGCACACGTGAGGCATGGGTGATAGGTAGCCAAATGGGAATCTACCATTGCTGGGCTGTCCAGTGCAGACAGGCCCAAACAATGCCGGAAATACCATGCTCAGCTAAGTAAAAACCTAGCCTCTCAGGTGGTTTTTGAATCCTGTTCTCCTGTGGTTTGGGCCCCCCATGTGCTAGCTGGCCAAATGGTAATTACAGACACGTTACAACGATTTCTGAATCATGCGTCAACTTGATTTCCAAAGACAGTTCGAAAACCAGTGGAGATGGGGCCTTAAACTGGCAGAAAGGAGGCTAACGCCCGCTTATCTCTGACTCTGAATTGTTCAGAGGCCTTTCCTATGACTTCTCTACACTAGAAAACTGATGGTAACGTGAATATACTACAGTTTGGTTCTTTGTGACCAAGTCAGGTTCTAACACATTTGGGGTGCTGTCATGTGGTAACATGTTCCTCAGCCACCTTACATTTCCTAGCATAGATGGACCCCAACACAGATGACCCCAAACTGTCTTCTGTGGCACAAATGGTTAGGCCTGGGATTTGTGGTGGATCTTTGCCCTGCAAGATAGGAGACAGGGAAGCAAGAAGCCCTGGTGGCTTAGACATAGAGAACCGATGCTT